TTTTTAAATTACTAGTGACTTTTAAGTAATGCTAGAAAAGGCTCTCGTGGTGAATTGGCTCAGAATTATCTGCTACTTTAATTCAAAACTGCTATAGGACAAATGAAAACCTGAATTTTTCTTGGTACTCTGATACTCGTCAGAAAGTTTAAACACACACACATACAGTCATATAAATATTTTTAAGAAAGGATCTCATATATTCCAGACTGGCCTCAAACTTGCTATGTAGCCTTAGGCTAGCTCCCAACTCATGACTGGAATTCTTGAGTGCAGGGATTACAGACAAGTACCATCAAGCATGGAACCTCTTTTTTAAACTTTATATCTCTATATAGGTCAGACAGTCTTCCTAAGCTTTAAACAACACATATAATGAATGTAGAAGCATATATAAAAATTTATCTGCATTTAAATACTCCAACTACTAACTGTATAAAAATGAAACAATACTAGTATTAATGTTTTAAATACAATTTTAATAAAATGACCTATCAACATTAACATGACATAAGTTTCTGGTTTTTTGTTGTTGTTGTTGTTGTTATGGGGACCTATGTAAGCCAAAGTGGCTTCAAAATTGTGATGCAGACTGACTTTGAACTCATGATCCTGTCTCCACCTCCAGATTAAAAGTATGTCTTTTATATCCTGAAGGCTCACTATAATTATTTTAAATAAGTTAATATGTTTCTATTCTCATTTCAAACATAGTAAGTATCATTAGAATAAGCCACATGCATATAATTAGTTTAGGGCCCCTCAATAATTTTTAAAGAGTACAAATTGTCCTTAACTCTAAATTAGTAAAACTGCTAAGTGCAGTGGCACAGGCTATAGTGTCAGAACTTTGGAGGTGGAGGTTGAAGGATTGGCAGGTCATGGCCAAACTGGGCTACCTATGACCTGTTGTAGTAAATTTTAAAAAAGCTATTGAGCTATATAATGTTTATCATTAGCCCTATGATTATCACAGCAGTGTTTATAAAATGTCGGTGACATCTGTTAGATTTATAATTGCCTTATTTACTCCTAAGCCCAGGAACCTTACCTATGCCTACTCCATTCTGCCCTGCCCAGGAATAGGCTGTTTAATGAACCGATCAGATATAATGACTCAGGAAGCTTTATAAAATGAGGCTAAGTATAACCAGATCTTGAGGGTCAGCATTAGAACAACTCCCAACAAAGACCTTTTCTCAAAACAAAAAGCCAACCAACACAAATGATCAATTACAGAGATGACCTTTCTATAGCAACAGTGGTATCTAACCAGGTCAAGCTTGTGTTCAAATCCTTCCAGCACTTTACTACTTATGATCCCTGGAGTCCTAAGTGATTAGGTGATTAGTAGCTTTCCTAGCTTATTCTCAGTAGTTTTCTGTTTTCTCTGTAGTCTCTGAAGCAGCTGTTGTGTTGTGTTTGTGGTGGGGGTGTTACTACACTCAAGCCACACCTGTCTCTGGGCTTTTGCCCTTGTTCATTCTCAGTCTTTCTCTCTGTTTAAATGATTCCCTCTTGTCTTAGATTCTCAACACAGGTTACCTGATCCTCCTTGCCCCAACTCAGGTTAGACTGGGACTAGTTTGTTTTACTTGTGGTGCCAGGGATAGAACCCAGGGCCCCCTGTGCACACTGTGTAAATGCTCTTACCACTTAGCTGTAATGCCAGTCAGCTCCCTCTTCTTATACAGTCCTATGATTCTATGCACATTTCCTTTACAGAGTCAATCAGTTTGGAGAAAGTATGCCTTTGGGATTGTGGCTTCATAGCTCTCTTGTTCATTTCACAACAGAAAATAAATACAAAAATCATACATAACTATTAAATGAAATTTGGCTTTTATATACACAAGAATAAGTAGGTTATGACAACACTGTGGTAAAGAACTGCCCTTATTACAATAGAAATCTGGCCTTTGCCCTCGCTTACCAGGAGGTGGTCTCTTGGCTCCTTGACTTCTTGCTAAAAGAAGTGTGTCTGTTTGCTTGGGGACTTTGGATACTGGAAATGCAATCTACATAGAAAGTTTGAAGTCACACCAAGAGGAGATAGGGACTAAAGGGTTCAGTGTGGCCTACAGGGATGGGCTAGAGATGAAAGGCTAGTCATGTAAGTACTAAGCAAATAACTGTCAATAAATATGGCTTTGGGGGCTGGTATATATTACCATTCACTGTGCCTAAGAGCTATAACACCATCCATGGTTCCATCGAAAGAGGGTGATTAAAAATTCTACATTTTAACTTTTCTAAGATCCTTTCCTATGTGACTCCTCTGGTTTTTTGTTTTGTCTTTTAAAATTAAGTCCTTCCTCAAAAATATTTATTTAGGGTTGGATAGATGGTTCAGTAGTTATAAGCACTGGCTACTCCTGGGTTTTATTCCCAGCACTCATATGGTGGCTCAAAACCTTCTGTAACTCAAGTTCAAGGGGAGCCAACATGCCCTTCAGGGCTCTGCAAGCACAGCATGCATGTGGTACACAGACATATATGCAGGCAAAACACCCACCACATAAAGTGAGTTATTTGTAGGTGTGTATGTGTGTGTGTGTGTGTGTGTGAGAGAGAGAGAGAGAGAGAGAGAGAGAGAGAGAGAGAGAGAGAAGACATCCAAGGACAAGGACTTGGGGAGTAAGTTCTTTCCTCCCACCTTAAGGGATCCAGAGATTGAATTCAGGTCAATCTGTACATAAGCGCCTTACCAACTGAGCCATCTTCTCTGGCCTATGGATGTCTCTTTCAGCTAAGTTTAATCTGTATCCTTTCCCTGTTAATAAACTGTATCACCGCTTTCAGTAAGTTCTTTGAATATTTGCAAACAAATTACCAAAACTGAGAGTGATTGTGGAACCCCCAAGTTTACCTAAAATGAGGACAATTTTGAAGAGCTAATTCCCTCAAACTTTACAGATTGGCCGAACTTAATGCAACTAAGTAAAAAGCAATAGAAGAGCAGGGCTTGGTGATACACACCTATAACTCCAGGGTTCAGAAGGCTAAGGTGAGATACTCAATAGTCCCAAGCCAGCCTGAGTTATAAAGTGGTATTCTGTCTCAAACAAAACAATAACAAAATAAAAACAGAAAACTCAAAAACAAAAATAGGTTAAACTCTGAGTTCTTAAGGTCAGTACCTTCCTCAGCAGGATACATTAATTAAAAACAAAATAAAACAACAAAAAGAAAACACCTTAATAAGATAATTCACTCTGGGGTGACCTGACACTCTCAGGATAGCATATACTCTCTAACGAAGCAACAATGTGTACCGATGATAATAAAAGCAGTAACTATTACCATGTGGCCATTCATTTCTACAGTTGCCACCTAACAGATGTGGAAAATGAGCATGAGAGTAAAACAATTTGTTCAAGATCACAATACTAGTGACTGTGTGGTTTGAATGAAAATGGCCCCTACAGGGTATCAGAGAGTGACACAATTAGAAGGTGTGGCTTTGTTGGGAGAAGTTGTGGCCTTGTTGGAAGAAGTATGTCACTGGGATGGGCTTTGAGGTTGCAGAAACACAAGCTAGGACCAGTGTTACTCCCTCTTCCTGCTGCCTGCAGATCTGAATATAGTACTCTCAGCTGCCTTTCCAGCACCATATCTGCCTATGTGCCATCATGCTTCGTGCTATAACAATGGACTGAAGCTCTGAACTGTAAGCCAGCCCCAATGTTTTCCATTATAAAAGTTGCTATGTTCATAGTATTTCTTCACAGCAATAAAAATCGTAACTAAAACAGTGACAAAGTATTTAAAATTATTTTCTTACTTTTAGAGTCAACACACTATTATTTTAGAGTGTAAACAAAGAAAGAGTTGAACATTGAACTGTACAAAGGAAAATGAAATCATGACCAATGCTAGAACAGTGTCACTGATGACTAGTCAGCACTTAATTCCGCTCTTCCATACTTGATCATGGATATTTACATTTAGTTACAGCTTGTCTGTGAATTTCCTCTGAACAAATGAACTACATAGGTTAAAAACAACTTGGTAAGAGCTGGACATGTGGATCACCCCTGCTCGGGCATGCATACACACGCACGCACGTAAAAAAAAAAAAATTTGGGGAGCTGGATATCTTAACTCTCTCTTCAAAGAACCTGACTTCAGGTCCCAGAACCCATGTTTGGAGGCTCAAAATTGCCTGTACACAACAACTTCAGGGAATCCCATACCTCCTTCTGGCCTCTTCAGGCCTGCACACACAGTTATAAATAAAATACACCTAAAAGAAAAAAAAGACTACTTTCTAATATTGTTAGAGAGTGTTAAACACATATTCCAAATACCTTAAGTGGGCAGACAACACTTCTGCCAAGAAAATCATGCATGATACTCTAGTCCATAAGCTCTGAGCATCAAGTTCTTTCTTTCATTCTCCTCTAAAATGCTTCATTTTCTTCTTCTACAGTTTCTCTTATATTACAGAAATGACCTCTTGGCCCCTAAGAAAGACTGAAAGGAGCTGGAGTCCATCAATACAAGTAAGACCAACTGGAGTGTTTCAAAATGAATACTGTATGTACAGCGTTCCCACTCTGAAACTAGAAACTGGCTTTAAGATACAAGTAACACATAAATGAGTATGTAAGCATTCATACACAAGATAGTAGCCTAGTAACCCAGGAATTCTGAACATAGTAATCATAAAAAAATAAGATGTTTGTGCATCTGATTTTAATTACTTGATTTTATATAGGTGCACAGCAAACAATACATTCTGAACTGCTATTTATTTTAAAAATTAGTATCATGCTTCTACAAGATCCGAAACCTACTGTCAAGTTGTGCTATATCCATTTTGACAAACCAATTACAATAAAGATGTTTTAAAAATGGGTAAGTCTGGGTCTACATTAACAGTTAGTCATTAAAGGAGAAGAGGTGGATGTAAGTAAAGTAGAGGAGCGAAGGAAGGACATACTAATGAGTTAGACACCTCCCCACCGATTAATAAACCACAGAGACAGAGAAAGTACCTGGAAAGCTGTGAGTGCGCCAGTCCCTGGGTTATACAGGCATCGCAGCGAAGGCATGCTGTCCGCCAGGCTGGAGCAGCCCAGCCACAGAGACCTGGGCATAGAGCACTGCAGAGAAAGGACAACTATGAGATGGGACAGTATGAGACAGGATGGCACAGATTACAGGGATTTTCAAGGGCTGGCTGAATATAATATTCAAGCTGTACCTGGCCTTTGTGATAGAAACCCTGGGGAGGGGACCACACGGTGGGCTGGGCTGGCTTGGGGCTCCTAGGCAGACCAGGGTAGACTTGCCTACCCTGCCTCCAGCACTTGGCAGAGACACAGTACATGATGGTTCTAACCTCAGAGAAACTCGAAAGGAGCACTAGTAGCCAAAAGGCAAAAACAGAAACAAGTTAAAGGTCCAAAAACCAAGTATGTCATGAATTTCCTGTCCTTATTTATCTATGAACACAGCTGAACTAGGAAAACCACTTCTTAAATATAACTGATTATTTTCTTTTTGAGCTTTAACCATCTTCCTTAAATTCACTATAAGGTAAAATACTGTATAGACTAAGCAGGAAAAAAAAAAAAAGAGAACTTTGTGATAGCATTACAGTATTAAGAATGGTAAATTAAGAAACAAAATACTACAGGAGAATGTTTTTCAAAAAGAAAAGAAAAAGCATTGTATCCCTAGGGCTCTGACAGAAACTAACTGTGCATAGTTTACACATGCTTTATATATCCTGTTAGTCTGTTATTCATTAACCACAATGCATAGTTAACCAAAGCAGATGCCTCTTCATCTTTCCAGATGGACTAAAGGGGGTGGGGCAATAAACAATCCAAACAGAAACAAAACAGGGGAAGAAAAGTAGGGACCCAGAAAGTCATGGCACTAAAACCTTCAGCAAGGAAAGTATGGAAGAGAACACAGTGTATTCAATCGTCCAAAAGTGACACTAAACATTGTCAGTATTACTATACTTTGAGGTGGTGGGAGGGGGTTGTTTTTTAGGGGCCTGTGTGTGTGTGTGTGTGTGTAGGTTAGGGGTTAATCTCAGATAGTGCTCCTCAAGAGCCACCCATGTCTTTGTTTTTATTTGTTTGTTTTTTGAGGTGAAGTGTCTCACTAGAACCTGGGACTTGCTCATCAGACTAAGCCAGCCAACCAGCAAGCTCCAGGGAGCCTCCTTACATGGGCACATCATATGCTCAGTTTGGTTTTGTTCTGTTTTGTTTTATTTTGAATGGATGTTGGAGGTGGAACTTTGGTCCCCATGCTTGCCTAGCAAGCATTTTACTGACTGAAACATCTCCTCAAGCCCTGCTTAGATCCATAAGACATGCACATGGCAGAATGGACTCCACATTTGTGTTTCCCTAAAAATATCCCAGAATGTTAACTTGAGCACCATGATAGCTTAATAGCTAAAATACTAAATACCCAACCATACTCCATGAATACATATTTTAAAATGGAGAAGTAAGTTCTTACAAGAAATAAAATTTTACAGAATGTGAGACAATGTTTTGGTTCATTTACTTCTTTTTGTTTGTTTTGGTTTTTCAAGACAGGGTTTCTTTGTGTAGCTTTGGCTGCGCTGGACTTGCTTTGTAGACCAGGCTGGCCTCAAACTCACAGAGATCTGCCTGACTCTGCCTCCCTGAGTGCTGGGATTATAAGTGTGTGTCACTGCACCCAGCTTCTTTTACTCCTAAAACAATTGGTAGAAATTAATAATGGCATACAAGATAGAGTATTCCCCACTTACACTGCCTGTAATTCATAAGGATAACAGGTGCTAAGGACTCCAAACCTGATTCACTCTAGACCGCTGCTTACAGGTCAGTTTCCTCATTTGACAGTTAGGTACTTGTCTATTCATGTCCAAGAACTTACAAAGTAGGACATAAAGTAGGGATGAGGGACATCAAAGGCTATCTGCTAAAGGTATCACTAGACAACACAACATGCCAAACTGTGACATCACCCTGAAGAGCAGCTACAGCAGTGAATTCTATTCACTCCTCTAGTTTCTTTACCTCAAGTTACAACCCATTCTACAAATAGCTAAAAGAACGGTTGTCTTCAGTGTTATGTTATGCAATTGACAATGGGTCCGGCACTGGCTGTATGAACCCGAGGCACATTATCTACCTGCTCTCCTCTGTCTGCCTTTACAACCCACTTTCACTACCTACCCTTTTGGTTAGCTCTGACACTCTAGCTGGTTAACTACTTTGACATTATATTCAAATGCTTCTCTGAGCCCTGACACATATAAATTTGTGATTCCAGTGCTCTTTGTTTCTGTCATCTCTACCTGCCATTTACCTTTGTGTCTCCTAGGCACTATATTTATGAATTTCAGCCCTTTCCAGCTGATCTGTACTTGAAATACTTATATTTTGGAGAAGAACAATAGAACAAAGGGGACAGTTAAGGGGAATATTTAAAAGTTTCTGTCGACTTGAGAATCCCTGTCCTGCACTGAGGAACCAAAAATGCTTTCTTTACTGGAACTGAAGAGATGGCTTAGCCATTAAGAGTACTAGCTGCTCTTCCAGAAGCCTGGAGTTAAATTCTAAGAACCCATGTGACTTTAACTTCAGACCGAAAGAATCTGATGCCTTCTGGCCCCTACAGACACACTGCATAGACATGGTGTACAGACATGCATGCAGGTAAAACATCCATACACACAAAATAAAAATAAAATCTCCAAAAATTTAATTAAAAAATGAAAGGGGCATTATAGATCCTCACACTTTTCCTCCAATCCAGAATGGTCTACATATTGACCTCCATCCGGGAAGCTAAGGATACACAGTAAGACCCTGTTTCAAACAACACAAACAAACAAAGAAAATGCTTCACTGCAATAATTTTCACAAGTAAGTTACATTAAGTTTTAAGGCTAATGTTTTAACAATTTATCTTTTTTTTTTTCCTTCAGAGCAGAGGACCAAACCCAGTACCCAAGCGCTCTACCACTGAGCTAAATCCCCAACCCCAGCAATTGATTTGGTATTTATTGAACATCTTTCTTGTTCTGCATACAGATACAACAATGGGCAGAAAGAAATTCTGTCCCCCTTTTTGAAACCAATCATAACGGAACCAGAACTTTATGCATGCTAGAAAAGCACTCTGCCAATGAGCTATAACCCCAGCCTTTAAAGAAATTCCATTCTTCACTGGGCATGGTGGCTCACATCAATGATCCCAGAACTTGAGAGACTGAGGCAGGATAACCACCTCCAGTTCATGATTAGCTTGAGTTTACATAGTGAATCCCATGCCAGCCAGGGTTATTAGCAAGCTGGTATCTTTAAAAAAAGCGAGAAAAAAAGAAAATCCCTTTCCTTCATGGAACTTATATTCTTGCAACATTAAATCCCTATATATTAAAGATTCCTAATATAAAGAAACTCATTGTTAAGACCACTAACTATTGTGTTGTCCTTCAGAGACATGGCAATTTATTAAGTTTGGTTAAAGCTAATGGGTAGAAAAAAAAGAGTGTCATTTTGAAGGAGGATTTCAATTTGAGATACATACGAGATGTAAAAGAGAGTACACAATGTAGAAAGGAAACGATGGGTGGACACAGAGGAAGCACTGAAGCCAGCTCGTCAGAGAGGCAGGCGCTCACATACGTTAGCCAACAGAAGCCCTCCGCACGGCCCAGGAGGTACTGCTGAGTCTAGAACTCAGCCAAATCAATTCACTCACAGACACAGGACTCTTCTTTCTCACTGCAATGCACACGTTTATTCCTTTATTTGAATTGTGAGAGCGTCTTAGTTAACTTTTGAAAGCATTTCTCCCATGAATTATGAGTCTCTTCTATTTTCCGTAAGAATCTGTGCTATTTTTTTTAATACCACTTGATGAATTATTATCTGAGCTTCTTTCATGTTGTTTATTCTAATACTCCTTTCTCATTCATATAACCCAATTCCCTATCAACACTCCTCTAACAACTAAAAATCTGAAAGGGGCTTACCCTATCTATTTAAACTAAAATTTCAAAATACAATTACGATCAACAATGAGCCTCATACACCCAGGGAAGCCACTATATACAGCAGTGTGATTTCCAAAATAGTATTAACTTGCAAACACCACACAGAGGATGCATTCCCGGTTATTACAAGACAATTGGTATGGGTATGAAAACTGCACTTGAATATAGTCAAATTTATACATTATCATAAGATTTTACATATTATGGCTCAATTTAAAAACCAATTTTCAAATTGGTTTGTATTGTAATAATTAATCTTAAAATAGTAAACGCTGCTTAAATCTTTGAGGAAAACAAATCACTATAAAATAAATGGAGCAGGCTCTAACTTTACCTGTTTCTCCTCTTTCTTCATATTTAAGAACATTTTTAAAATGAAAGGAGAGAATAAACAGGGAAAGAAAATTTGGGTAGTGAAATTTTGGCTGCCATGCCCATGTGCTTTCTGTGCCTTTCAGGGCTTTACGGGTCAATTTAAAACAAAGACATAATACGTGTTCTGTCCATCATTTAATAAATATTGCCCTTGACAGAACTGTCAGCCCTGAGAACCCGGCTGCTGGAGGCTACTACAGGAAGATCACATATTCAAGACCTGCCAGATCTATGAAGTGAGTTTAAGGCCAGTCTTAGCAATACCATATCTAAAAGAAAAATGTTAAAATGAAAGGGGCTGGAGATACAGCTCAGAGGTAGACTGCTTTCCTAGTGTGTGAGGCCCTAGGTTCTATCCAGAGGGAAAAAAAAAAAAAAAAAAAGAAGTTTGAAAATCCAAGCATGGTAGCACATGATAGTAATCCCAATTCTTGGAAAGCTAAAGCAAGAAGGTCATGCATCTGAGGCCAGCCTGGGCTCAATAGCAAGACCACATCTTTAAGTTAATAAACACTTTAAAAAGCACATAGTTTTCTAACTATGCTTTGGGCTCGCCTTGATATTTCTCTTTGTAAACTATATATAAATGTCTAAACTTCTCCTATCCCCAAATCTTTAGGGTGGATCAAGCCCAGGGACATGCTAGGATAACACTTTGCCACTGAGCCATACTCCAAACCCTTAACATTTTAAATAAAAAAGAAACGG